GGGCTGGGGGCCGGCAGCTGCCAGCACCCTCAGCCCAGTGCTGACGCCGCCTCTGTGCCCCCAGATCTCAGACGCCGTGTACCGCCTGGTGTACGAGCAGGCCAAAGCGCACTTTGAGGCGGTGCTGTCCAAGCTGCTGCTGGCCCGGCCGGCCATGGAGGCCGTCATCCGCACCGACATGGACCAGATCATCACCTCCAAGGAGCACCTGGCCAGCAAGATCCGAGGTGGGCAGGCCTCCCGGGGGGCTGTCTTCCTCGGGCCGACCTGCTGGGACTGCCGGCCCCAGGAGCCAGGCGGCCCTCCCGTCTGTTTCATGGGTCCATCTGCATTTCACAGCAACGACTCGATTCATTGATTGCTTTAAAAAAAAATGGAAATCAAATCTGAGCCGTTGCTTTTCCAAGCTATTTCTAGACACCCAGACCCTGAAGGTCTAAATCAGGGGTCCTCAAACTTTTTAAACAGGGGGTCAGTTCACTGTCCCTCAGACCGTTGGAGGGCCGGACTATAGTTTTAAAAAAAACTATGAACAAATTCCTATGCACACTGCACATATCTTATTTTGAAGTAAAAAAACAAAACGGGAACAAATACAATATTTGTATTTGCACGTGGCCCGCGGGCCGTAGTTTGAGGACCCCTGGAAATGTTGTCATGAGGCTGAGCCCTCGGCTCATCTTCGGGCGACCACAGCTTCTCACACGTGTCGTTTCACAGACATCGGCTTAGCACGGTGATGATTCCCTTTCACCAAGTCCAACTTCTCTGTCAGTTTATGCTCCTTCCCGTGCCGCCCGATGGGATCCTTTCACTCCCTGTCACCATAACACCACGGCCAGAGTCCTCAGCTGCCCGAGACTCCTTCTGTACTGGCTGCGTTCACCGAGAGCTGCTGCGTTCACCGAGAGCTGCCGTTCATTCTGTGGAACAGACACTAGCTGGGCAGAGGGGAGGGAGGGCCGTCAGAACCCCCAGGGTGAACGCGCCTGGGCCGGAGGGTCCTGGAGGTGGTTCCTGCCACAGGGTCACAGCCGGCCACACGGGCACGCTGAGGCCGGCCACACCATTCCAGACAGGGTCGGGCTCAGCCTTTGCAAAACCCAGAGGCTCATTGAATCCACTGAAGTATTTTTCTTTTTTTAAAAAAACACACACAAATGAGCAAGACCCGAAGGTGTTCTCTCCCCCTTTAGCTAAAGAAAAGCTGCCGGCACCTCCAGGCCGCAGTCCTGTTTCTTGCATCACCACTTAGAAATACGTCCCCATCAAGTTGGCTCCATCCATGTGTGTCTTTACTGTTTTAGAGTCATTGTTTGCTGCTGCTGTCACCTTTGGTTTTCTTAAAACACACACAAACAAAACCCAACAGCCTGCTCCTAGCCTCGGGGTCCGGGAGGGCCGGGAGCTGCTCCCAGGGGCCTCAGCTAACCAGCTCCCTCTGGGCGCAGCCTTCATCCTCCCCAAGGCGGAGATCTGTGTGCGGAACCACGTGCAGCCCTACATCTCCTCCATCCTGGAGGCCCTCATGGTGCCCACCAGCCAGGGCTTCACCGAGGTGCGGGACGTCTTCTTCAAGGAGGTCACCGACATGAACCTGAACGTCATCAACGAGGGCGGGGTGGACAAGCTGGGCGAGGTGAGGCCTTCGCTGGGACCGGGTGGGCCGCTCCCCTCCCGTGTCCCCTATGAACAGGGTCTGAGGGCCGAGTACACGAGGCTGAAGCTGTTGGGGCCGGCATTAGAGGAAAGGGGGAACCTAATCCCCTGCCACCAGCCTGTCTAAGCCAAATGGGTTGTAAAATAGCAAAGAACAGAGAAGCGAGGGAGGGAAGGAGGAAAAGAAGGAAGGAGAGGAGAGGAGCAGAGAGGAGAGGAGGAAGGAAAGGCAAGCTGCAGAGACGAGGCATGTGACCGTCGAGGTAGACGTAAGTACGTGTGAGCCTTCATGTGCCCCACAAGCAGAGACGGCCCGGCTCTCCCTGTTCCTCTGTTATCTGGTTCTTGGGGTGAACGCCCTTCCACAGACCCCATTTGAGTAGTCGGCTGCCTGGAGCCCCACATGGTTGTCAGGGGAAGGGAGAACCGATCCTATCTTAGCCTCCTCTCTATACCTTAAATTGGAGAGTCTACAGCCAACATAACCATGGAATTTGAGAACCAGAAAGGAACTTAGAGGTTAGGAGAAACCTGATTTTGAGGCTGAGGAACCTGAGGCTCAGAGAGGGTGAGTGCCCTGGCCCAGGTCACCCAGCGCCCAGAAGGGAACAGGATCCAGCTCCCAGCTCCCAGCTCCCAGCTCCCAGCTCCCAGGTTGTGCTGCTGGAGCACGTTCCTCCAGCTTCAGATCCCCGGCTCCGAGGGCCCAGGCAAGGTGTGGGTCTGGGGGGTGCCTACCATGCAGGTGGCCCCAGCTCAGGTCCCGCCTCCCTGCCTCCCTGCAGTACATGGAGAAGCTGTCCCAGCTGGCGTATCACCCCCTCAAGATGCAGAGCTGCTACGAGAAGATGGAGCCGCTGCGGCTTGACGGGCTGCAGCAGCGTTTCGACGTGTCCAGCACATCCGTGTTCAAGCAGCGAGCCCAGATCCACATGCGTGAGGTGGGCCAGAGGCTGCTCCCCGCACACCCCTCAGCCCTCTCCTTCCCACAGCCCCCATCTCCTGGGAGAGTCCCCCACCCCCGGCCCCACCCTCCTCTTGTGTGCCCTGCAGCCCTGCCCAGCCCCGCGTGCTCCCCTGCTCTGGTCCCGTGTGTTTGGAACACCTGTCCCTCTGTTCACCTGGCTAATTCGAACTCATCTTTCAGGTCTCAGCTTAGAAAGCCCTCCCTCCATGAAGCCCTCCTTACTCCCCAAGCCCCTTCCTGCAGGGCCCAGGACCTCTGTTTCCTATTTCCTTGAGGCAGGGACTGCCCGTGCCTAGCCCTGTGCCAGCACACGGTAGACATTCAGTGACGCTGTGAGGGCGGGAGCGCAGTGAGCGAGCGCACAGGCCACCCACTCCTCCGGCTAGCTGGGGACAGCTGGCTGAGGGGCCCCTCGGAGGCACGCAGCAGGGGCTGCGGTCACTCGGGGCCTTCATGTGCCCCCTGGTGTGTCCCACAGCAAATGGACAACGCCGTGTACACCTTCGAGACCCTCCTGCACCAGGAGCTGGGGAAGGTGCCCACCAAGGAGGACCTGTGCAAGTCCATCCAGCGGATCCTGGAGCGGGTGCTGAAGGTGAGCGGTTCTGCCCCGGCCCTGGACCTGTCCTAAGTGTGGCTGAGCCCTGCGTCCTGTCCCTATGGGAGGCGCCGCCCACCCTCTTGTACAAATGAGGACGCTGAGGCAGAGGCCAGACCACCGGCCTTCCATCCTCCTGCCAGGGCCGGGGGCCCACTGGCTCAGAGCCCCCTTCTCCTCTCTCCCGGCAGAAATACGACTATGACAGCAGCTCTGTACGGAAGCGCTTCTTCCGGGAGGCGCTGCTGCAGATCACAATCCCGTTCCTGCTCAAGAAGCTGGCCCCCACCTGCAAGTCGGTGAGCAGCCCTGGCCCCCCCTCAGCCCCTCGCCACAGCCCCCTCCTGGTCCTGGGAGCCGGAGCCAGCCCGACCAGCGCCCGGGCCGGGTGGAATCGCAGACCCTCTGCCTCCAGGCCCTGACGGCCCCCCTCTACCCCTTGCCCGCCTCACCTTGCAGGAGCTGCCCCGGTTCCAGGAGCTGATCTTCGAGGACTTTGCCAGGTTTATCCTGGTGGAGAACACGTACGAGGAGGTGGTGCTGCAGACGGTCATGAAGGACATCCTGCAGGGTGCGTGCCAGCCCCCAGGGGGCCGCTGAGAGCTGGGGGGGGAGGGAGGTCGTCCCCACCTCCGCTGTGTTGGGATTCTTATTGCCAGAAGGGAGATGGAGGAGGCCGCCCAGAGGCCTTTCTCGTGGGGTCAGCGAAGCTGCAGACAATCATGGGGTGTATGCTGTGGGCCAGGTAGGCCCACTGTTAGCTGTGCAGCCACAGGAGGGGAGCGTCCAGTCTCCGTGCCTTCGTTTCGTGGCGTGTCAGATGAGTGACAGGGTGGCACGGTGGTTGCCAGCTTGGGCTTTGGGTTAGGGTCATGGCTCCTCCATCCTAGCTGTGAGGCCTGGAATAAGTCACGTCCCAGTGACAGCACCCGCAGGCCGTAGGGTGGGCTCTGGGGGTGATGCCGGTCGCATCTGGGCACCGTGGAGGGTGTGGTGGCTGTGGTCCCCGTGACACATGTGCTGACGCCGCCCGCTTGGCCCTGCAGCCGTGAAGGAGGCCGCCGTGCAGAGGAAGCACAACCTGTACCGGGACAGCGTGGTCCTGCACAACAGCGACCCCAACCTGCACCTGCTGGCCGAGGGCTCGCCCATCAACTGGGGTGAGGAGTACGGTGGCAGTGACGGTGGCAGTGGCGGCAGTGGCAGCCCCAGCCCCGGTGTCCAGGAAGCAGCCACCATCTCGGAAAAGCGACGGCGTGCCAAGCAGGTGGTGTCCGTGGTCCAGGACGAGGAGGCAGGGCTGCCCTTCGAGGTCGGCTGTGAGCCACCATCACCTGCGTCCCCGGACAGTGTCACTGAGGTCCGTGACCTGCTGGCCCAGGATCTGAGGGTGGAGAGCCCCCCACCAGCCTGCCCCCTGCTCAATGGGGCCCCCGTGCCCGCGATCCCTGTGCCCTCCTCGCCTTCGCCCTCCTCACCACCTGCAGCCTCACCACCACCTGCAGCCTCACCACGGGCCTCGCCCCTCCAGCAACTCCCACCTGGAAAGGCTGTGGACCTTGAGCCTCCAAAGCCCAATGACCAGGAGACCGGGGAGCAGGAGTCCAGCCCTGGCGGCCGGCCCCCCATCCACACCACCACCGAGGACAGCGCAGGGGTGCAGACTGAGTTCTAGGCTGGTCGCCCCCAAGCTTCTGTTGGACGCGGCACACGGGCCCCTCCCTCTGAGGCACTGACAAGCTTGACTCCTGGGATTTGGATTTGTGCCTCCGGGTGGGGGTGGGGCAGGGCTGGTGAGGCTCCTCGGGCTGAGCAGGGACAGGCCCACCTGAAGTCACTTTATTGGGTTTGTCACACTTTGTTGCTGTTTTCTCTTCTGTGGGGTGATCTCGGCTTTCCTGCTTGGCTAGGGGTTGAGCAAAGCTGAGGGGCCTGGGGAGCGCCTGTGGCCCCAGTTCTCTCGGTCCTCCCTTCCTGCCTTTCCTCGTTGGCCCGTTTCCCTAAGGGGCCTTGCCATCCTTGCAAAGAGGGAGGCAAAGGCATCGTCTGCTGACTCAGAGCCCATGAATTTCCTCCCCTCTCATCCAGGGCTCATTGGAACCAGGAACATGGAGTGTCCAGGCCCATCCCTGGGCCCCACTCCCCTCTCTGCTCTTCCAGGCTGGGCCCAGAGGCCAGTTTTGGAGTGGACAGTGGCCTGGCTTTCCCCACTCTGGGTGAGGGGAAGTGCAAGGAGGGGTCTTCAGGCCAGAGCCAGGCTGGGGTGGGGGGAGGGTCCATAGGCCTGGGGTTGGAATGAGAAAGGCTTGGAATGTGCTGGTCTGGGCAAGGAAGTGTCCAAGGGCAGGAAAAGGGCAGGAAAGAATGAGCCATGCAAGCAGGAGGCCAGAGGGCAGAGGTTGCTGGAGGCCAGGCCGGCCTTGAGGCCTTGTCTCCCGGTTCCAGCCTCAGCAGGCTCCTGCCGCCTCCTGCCCCTGTGCCCACCTGCTGGGCTGGGCTGAGGGAGGCGGCACTGCTCAGGGGCAAGGTTTAGCAGGTGTGGATTCTGTCCTCCGAGGGCCACCTCCAAGGTACGGCTGTCCACCGCGGGAGCTCTAGGGTTCCTGAGGGTCACGGCTCCCGAGGCACCACTGGTCGCCGCTCTGAGGGCTTGGGGTCAGGCTGTGGCTTGGCTGTTGCTGCCCGAGTCCCCGAGTCACCTCAGCCTAAACATTCCAGGCCTGTTTTCAAATGTGAGTCACTTGGGGGCCAACTGTCCTCAGCCTCTTGTTCCTGGGGGTGAGGGTCAGGCCGAGCAACCCCCAGCCTGGCAGTCCCAGGCCCTGCCCCTGCTGCTTCGAGGAGAGGGTCGGCAGGGCAGACTGACTTCTTCAGGGTCCTCGGGGTGGGGCCCCCACCCAGCCCTGCACCCTCCCTTGATCTGCTTCCTGGGGCCCGGGCCTTGGACCCCAGGATGGATGGCAGTGGTTGGTGCAGGCCCCCCCACCCCGCACCTCACTAAACCTCTTCTACCAACACCTTCCGTCTTACGATGCCCTCCTCTAGTGCCTTCTTTGGGGATTTTCCAGTCATTCTTCCCAGATATTGTATTGAAAATATTAAGCAAACTGTTTAAGCTTCTACTAATCAATAAATGCTTTATTTAAAGCCAGTGGCCTCTGTGTGGTGCTGGCAGGAGGAGACCTGGCTGGAGACGGCGGGCGGGCCTGTCCATGCGCCCTGGCTTTCTGGGCTCACTGGACCGAGTACCTCTAGCTCAGAGTTCTCGTATCCTCCTGGCTTACAGAGGAGGAGACAGGCTCAGAGGGAAGACAGCACGTAGGTGACTGACCTGCCTTGCAGCTCAGCTTCCTCAGCTAGATCTGGGCAGGGTGGTCTTCCAGCAGGTTTAAGGCCACTTGGCCGTGGGGCACCCACAGTGGGGTGGGCCTCCGGTTCATGCTGGATCCAAACAACGATGCCACATTTTCAACTCCTGACCGCACAGCACCTGCTGTGGGCCTGCACCTCCCAGGACCAGAGCCTGCCAGCAGCTCCAGCATGTGGTGCCGTCATTACCACGTCACCAACGTGTAAACTGAGGTTAGGGGACCCCCCCCCCCACCGCCCCACTACCACACACACACACACACACACCTGGTGGGGACAGGCTGCCTCATCCATGGGTAAAAACGTGTTCCTCCTGGGTAGATGGCAGCGTCACTGTGGCGGATGTTGGTTTCCTTGGTACCAGGCTGCCCACCGTGGCCAGTGGCTGAGGGCTCGTCCATGAGGGCTGGGGTGTGGAACAGCAGGGGCTATGGGGCCACAGACTAGGGGTTCACCTCTGGTCTTGCTGTTGTCCTCAGCAAGTCACTAACTCCACCTCAGGCGCCTCGCCTATCAGAGGGGACTCGCCAAAGTCCTTTCTCGCAGGGCAGATGTGCTCTGCAGAGCGGCTCTGCCCATCTCAGGCCTCAGCCTCCCCACCTGACCAAGGGGAGCTCAGCAGGGCAAGTGGTGAGGGGGAAGGAGACATCGCGGGAAGAGGCCCAGCTCCTGCCTCACACAAGGAGCCTTCGTCCATTTCGGCCCACAGGACTGATGGACGGTCCCAAGAGATAGGGAAACTGAGGCTCAGGGCTCTTTCTGCCACCCCAGGCCTGTCCCCTGCGTCCAGTTGGCTCTGGACATTGCATCTGGGGTGACCATCGGTCTCCATCAGGGCCCCGTCATGTCCAGCATTGAACGGATGGGAAACAGGATGGAAGGCGGCCAGGGTCAGTGGGGGACAGCTAGCGGCAGAGCCCAGGCACCCTGAGCCGGCCTGCCTCCGGCCCAGGAAAACCCTACCCGTGGCTCAAAACCATTTGCCAGGAAAGGCACAGTAAGCTGCAACTCTACAGCCAGGACAAGGTGCACGCTCCTGGGATTGTGCAACGAACAGCCTGCACGGCTCCACACCCAGCACCGCCGTGTCCTAGCTGCAGGTCCTGGGCCTGACAGCACAACCTGCTCCGGCTGACTCCTGTGCCACTTCTCTCTGAGCCGTGTCTCCCCCATCCCAAGGGGTTTGCATAACTTCACGTTTGGGAAAGACTCTGCCTCCTCCCTTTCCTTCTGACCAAGGTGCAGCCCTCCATGACCCCACCCCAGCCCCTGGACTCTTCCCCTCCATCAGGACCCAGTGATGACTCCGAAGCAGCAGGCCGGATGTGGGTTTATTGGCAGTCCTGCTTTGGGTCTGCAAAGCTCATTGTCCGCCCTTGAGCCGCATGGGGTGAGGTGGTGCAGATCTGGAGCAGAGGGGCCCGAGCGTTGGGGGGCAGCAGTGAGGGAGGCAAGAAGGGGCTGATGTCGCCCGTGGCACCAGGCCTGCACTGATCAGACAGCCCATGGTGGCCTGTGGCCTCTCCTCATATCAGGGCCCTCCTGACTCCCAACACCCTGCTGCATGGGACAGCACTGTCTCTGTTCCCCTGACAAGAACACCAAGGCTCCTGCAGGGACGGGCCTGCCAGAGTCGGCTGGGAAGGGTGGCGCACACTGGCCAGGACACGCAGTCCTGTGCTCAGATGGTGCCACAGCGGCTTCTCCACACCCTCCCTGGTACCAGGAGGGCTCCCCTCTTCTTCCACAGTGTGCAGGTCATCCGCTGGGAACATTCACCTCTGCCCGGCCGGCCCAGCTGCTTGGAGATCGAGGGTGGGGGGCGCCCTCCTGGGCTGTAGGGTAGGGCCCAGGACAGAGGGGCCTTACTAGTCTGGGGAGAGCAGGGATGAGCTGGAGCCCTGGGCCTGCAGGTGTGGACGTGGGCCGGAGGGCCAGGGGCCCGGCGGGCGCTCAGCTGCTGTGGTAGATCCGGAGGCGCTGGGCGATCTCCTGGCGGCACAGCGGGCAGGTGCGCAGCGGCTGGCAGCACTGCAGGCAGCAGCAGACGTGGCCACAGTTGAGGAAGATCATCTGGGCCTGAGGAGAGAGCGGAGCGTCTGAGCCTCTCGACCATCCAGAAACACGCCACACAGCAGGGGAACGCCTAGCCCTGCCCTCTGCTAGCAGTTCGGCACTCCTTCATGTTTTGGTAAAAATTTATAAATGCCCATAAGCCCCTTTCTTTCTTTCTAATATGAAACTGGATTATATGCTCCGATGTTTTACTACTTGCCTGCCCCCCTCTCTCGGGGTGACAGCTGTGGTGCCCTCTGGATGGAACCAGCCCTGCTGCTGGACGTGAAGGCTGTTCCCCATTTTTGTGTTGTTTTGGTGCACTTGCCCAGCCCCCAGTCTAAAAGCGATTCCAACATCATGGCCTAGAAGCCACGTCTACGCTTTGCTTCAGTGTTTCCTCCTTTTAGGAATTTACCGAAAGGCAATAGTCTAGGGCAGTGATGGCGAACCTATGACACGCGTGTCAGAGGTGACACGCGAACTCATTTTTTTGGTTGATTTCTCTTTATTAAATGGCATTTAAATATATAAAATAAATATCAAAAATATAAGTCTTTGTTTTACTATGGTTGCAAATATCAAAAAATTTCTATATTTGACACAGCACCAGAGTTAAGTTAGGTTTTTTCAAAATGCTGACATGCCGAGCTCAAAAGGTTCGCCATCACTGGTCTAAGGTGTGCTCCCAACTCGTTCCAGGCTGCTCAGCTCAGCACTGTTTGTAATAACGAAATTAGAAGCCAACCTATGGGGCCCCAAAGCAGGAATTTGGTTAAATTTATAACCAAGTCCTTCCACATCATGCCTGCCCCGGGTGTGGTGAAGACCGAGGGAAACCAAACGCGCTAACACGGCCGCCTTTCCTAAGTAGGGGCGCACGGTGGAGGGAGGGTGTGTTTTAATTTTATATGCTGTGTTGTACATGGAACCACAAAAGACCCCGAACAGCTGCAGCAATCTTAAGAAAGAAGAATGAAGTAGGAAGGATCACAATACCGATATCAAACTATACTACAAAGCATTATAACCAAAACAGCCCGGTACTGGCACAAGAACAGTCATATAGACCAATGGATCAGAACAGAGACTCCAGAAATTGACCCACACCATTATGGCCAATTAACATTTGACAAAGGAGGCAAGAACATACAATGGAGTAAAGACAGTTTCTTCAACAAATGGTGCTGGGAAAACCAGACAAACACATGCAAAAAAGATGAAACTAAACCACCAACGTACACCATACACAAGATTAAACTCAAGATGGATGAAACACTTCAAGGTAAGCCATGAAACCAGAAAAATCTTAGAGGAGAACATAGACAGCAAAATCTATATGCAGAGCCCTTGGACACGGGCAATAGGGTATTGAAGATGGGGGGGGGGGGGCGGGGTAATGGCTGGGAGGAGGGAGGGAAGGGGAGGAAAATGGGAGACATCTGTAATACTGCCAACAATAAAAAATATATTTAAAACCTTCTGGGGAAAAGAAAACATAAAAATTTTTATATGCTGTGTTGTTTAGTTTTTACAATAAGAGTGAATGTTGTAATGTTTTTTTAAAAAGACGGTTTTAGAACAGCCTCTTCAGAGAAAATTGTGTTGTTGATATTTAACAACTTGAGAAATTTTCCTTAATGTATTTGTTAAGTAGGGAAAACACCCTCTTTGAAAAAAAAAAAAAAAGTCTAGCATTGCTCATATTTGGGTCATGGGATCATGGGTCACTTTTATTTCCTGTATTTTCCACAACTTCTAATGAACACCAGATACTTATATGACTAGAGCAAAGTGTTTAGGAAGACTACCCCTGGAGAGGCTCGGATGGCCGCGGGCAGGGGGCCGGCTCCAAACTTACCTCCCGTTCCATGCACACCACACATTCCGAGGTCTGCACCTCCAGCTCCGCGGGGGGAGCCGATGGCCTCGCGGACTCAGGAAGCTCCTCAGGGGCCGTGGGCTCCAGGGCCCCGAGGACCTCGTCCGGGGGTGGTTTCAGCAGCTCTGTGGGGACCAGAGAGAGGTGAGCCAGGGCCTCTCCCAGTGATCCCAACCCCAAGGGGCTGCCCCTAGCCCTGCCTGCCCCACGTGGACACTGAGCTGGAAGGTGAGGGTGCTCTGACCTCAGAATGGGGCGGGGGGGTGGGGGGGGGCCTTACCACACACCCTCTTATTTCTCTTCTCTGAGTTTCCTGCCCCATCTGGAAAAGGGGAGTGCTGGGACACGGGCAGGGGGGCACGGCACTGGCTAACTGGGGTCTCTTACGCTTAACGTCCCCCGGACATTTAAGGGCCATCCGGCAAGTAGGGCTCTGTCACTTTCAGAGATGAGACATGAGCTCAGAGAGGGTGGCCACTTGCCCAAGGCCACAGCGCCACCTGGTGGTGGAGTCGCAGCACAGGAGCCCCTGCTTAGGGAGTCTGGGGTGGAGGAGCCTCCCTCTCAGCTTCACCCAGTGGCCCGGGAGACAGAGGAGCAGGGACAGGAGTGAGAGGTCCCCACGGCTGCTCCCCGCAGGCCCTGGATGGGCCCCCAGCGTGCCCACTGCTCTCCCCTGCAGCAGCCGCCAGCCCTGAAGCCAGACATCAGCCTGGGCCCTTCCAGATGCAGTCTTTCTGATCATCACCCAGTGGGCACCACCGACATCCCTGAGTCTGCTTCAGCCCTGATGCCCACCCTGATCTCAGCTCATATGTTTCATTGATTCTATGGTTTGACTTACAAATAGTATTATTTTATCATTGGAAAAAAATTCTGAAGATTTTTCAAAGGTTATTACAACCCTAGACACTCTAAGGGTATCAGGGTGCCCCAAGCCATCGTGGTGAAGAGGCCCTTCTGTACTTAATATGACACAGACGGAGTCCTGGGAGCAATAAGAGCATTGGCAGGAAAATGCCCGAGCATTTCCTGATCTCTTCTGGGACTTAGAAAGAACCACCCCTAAATGCTCACACCAGGAGAGGTGAGGAAGATCCTAATTTTTTTTATAATTTTTTTATTTTTTATTATTATTATTATTTTTTATTATATATATTTTTTTTTATTTTATTTTTTATTTTTTTATAAGGTCGGGTGGAGGGTGGGGGGTGAAAAACTTCAACCTCTTTATTCCCCCCCCCCGCCCCTCGGTGAGAAACCAAAAATACAGAAAAAAAAACAACCAAAAGCAATTTTGTTAGTCTATTGTAGCTGTCTTATTTATTTATTTAATTTTTTCTTTTTTAATTTCTACATATCTTT